CGCAGCAGGGGGGTTGGAACTAGATGATGTTCAAGGTCCTTCCAACCCAAACCATTCTATGATCCTCCATGTACATGCTACACTGGAACACTTGTCTGCCTCCTTGAGCACACGCATCCCCAAATTCCTGGAGTTTTATGACAGTCTTGTAAGCGTGCTTCCTGTTATCCTGGAATACACCTGTGATTCAGTCTGTTACCAAATTCGTAGCTGTAATCTGTATTTTGATGTGCTAATCTAGGGGTTTTGCTTTTTTCATGGGGTCCACGGATGTGCTCATGGCTGTTAATTTATTTCTTCATTTCTCTCTCTAATCACATTTCAAGGGCACGCTATTTTTGACAATTGGGTTTTCCTCTTTCTCTAGGCCCTGCAGGCACTCCAGAGACAGCCCAATGCAGCCCAGTACTTTCATCAGTTTATGCTCCAACAGCAGCTTAACAGTGCCCAGCTTCACAGCCTGGCTGCTGTCCAGCAGGTGAGTTGCCAAGGGGCAGAGGAGAGGAATAGGATCATTCTGTGGGGGAGATCCAGAGATTTTCTCTTTATACAGCGACTTGTACACCAAGATCCTCCTGATCCATGATTAGACAACAGTCCCTAAACATATTCTTTAGAGCTAATACAAACAGCTAGTAAACTGGAAGCATGATGCAAAGATTTATTTGGTTTTCAGGTACAGACCAGGGAAAGCCAAAAATTGACATCTGCATAAGGAAACTTGCACTTTAGAAGCCTATGACTAGCCCTTGCAGCTTCTTTAAATAAAAGATGGGTGGTTAAATCAGCAGCAGATGCAGTAGTATTTGAAAACTGTCTTAAAGTGAACCATGGATTGTTATTTCTCTGAGAACAAACATGGTCTTGTGTGTGTGAAATTTCAGGCAGTATCCCCTGAATTTTATGTCTTGAAACTTAGTAGCCCGTGTTTTCTTTACCAGTTACTAGCAAGAGGGATCTGGGGTAGATCTTGTCTAGCCAGGAGGGTGTTTCTTTAATTGAGATACGTTTATACAAATCAAGATATTTTATGACGCAGAATTGTTGAGCAATTTTTTTTTCCTTTAGCAACTTCCCTGAGCTGCAAGACTATCATCAGTTGAAGATGAATTATATGTGATGTGAATACAGTTCTGTCTGTATAAAAATATTTCCATCAGTAGCTCTGCTCCTTGGCTGTTAGTCCAGGATTTAGTTGTTTTCAAAATCCCTACCTGCAGTTTTATCGCATAGAGGGCATAGAATCCTCTCACCAGTTTTGCACAAATCTTAGTTATAAAACTAACTAAACTCATACAGTGGAATTCCCATGGGATCATAGATGGGGGAAAAAATAATCTATCAATATTTACATTCCTCCACAAACTATGTGTGCTCTAACCTGAGATCCGTTACTTGTGGTGCTATCATTGCATTGTTACTAAACTGCGTAACTAGCCCAGCAAATTGCTACTATTGCAGGGAACGTCTGGATGTTAACAGAGGGATTGCAGCATCAGGATGAAGGTTGTAGTGTGTAGCATGACAAGCTGCAGCAACAGTGGGATATGTACCCATGGGTGGAAGGACTGGAGGTCATGGACTGTAAGGGTCTGGATGGACTGTAATGGACTGTTGTCCACTGTCTTGGGTATTATACAGGCCTGAACTCGTTGGAGATGAGGAGGTACCTTGCTGAGTTGCTATACCTGATTTGTAGGGCACAGCAGGGATTTGTAGTGGTTAGATTGTGCTCCTGTTCTCAGGAATGAGAGATGATGATGATGGGACTAGGTGTTCTGACAAAGCCAAATATTTGGGCTGGATTGAAAAGTTTGTTCCAGGTACTCATTTCTGTGTCAATCTCTCTTGCAGGCTACAATTGCAGCCAGTAGACAGGCCAGCTCCCCCAACACCAGCACCCCGCAACAGACCACCACCACCCAGGCCTCTGTAAGTAACTACTCCCTCACCCACATACCAAAGCCTCCCTCCCACGCCACACCTTTTTCTTTCTCCTCTTTATCTTTTAGGAAGGCAGTTAGCCAGGGAAACATAGCTTCTAAGAATGCTAGGAATCCACAAGATGCAGACAACTTTGAGGATTTGGGGTGCTATTATTATTGGTGGGGGTTGAGGAGACCAAAAGGTTTCTGAGTGGGAGAGGGCTCTTAGCTGGAAAGGTAGAAACTGATCTCTCTTTGCTGAGGCTTTGGAGATACGTTGTCATGGTTTAGAAAAAGATCAGGACTTCTAAGAGGAAGTGTCATGAGCAGCTTGAAAGGGGTTGCTGGGGGTTTTTTTTTGGCAGAGTAGTAGTTTGTTGATGAGAGCAAGTCTGGTTTTGTAGTGAGTATTGAGGAACTGGGATTTTTTCAGAGAGCAGATGAGTTGGTAGGGTAGAAACTACTTTGTGAGGAGGTTTTTTCTTTACTTGAGAGGCTGGAGAAAATGATGTATTTCTTTGGGATCTCTTATTGCAGTTGTGTGCTAATCATGGTGATACTGAGGCTCAGCATCCAGGGCTTTGGCTAGTTTAGATTGCGTAGCACCTTAAGACAGGAACAATTTTATTGGTCCCCTGTGGGATACAGGGAAAAAAACCTGTAAAATGTCTGCTCTGGCTGTACCCCACTAAGATAATTTGTAATTATTTCTTTGCCTCCATCTCTTCATATATGATTTGAAGCTTTTCTCTGTTTTAAGATTAACCTAGCCACCACATCAGCTGCTCAGCTGATCAGTCGGTCACAGAGTGTGAGTTCCCCCAGCGCCACAACCCTGACACAGTCTGTGCTCCTTGGGAATACCACCTCACCACCTCTCAACCAGTCACAGGCCCAGATGTACCTCCGGGTAAGAGATGTGTATGCAAAATGTGTCCTGACCATGAACCCTACTTCAGTGTTTTGCTGCTTGGGATTACCAACACCTTTGGACCAACTCTAGCTTTAAGAATGATGCACTATATTTTAAATTCAGATGGGGAAGCTCTTGTCCCTGAAATCACAAGTATGACTCTGGGCTCAGCTTTTGAGGGTAGATGAGCTTTGTATTGTGTGTCTCAGGTGAGATTGTTAAGAATCATGTTTATTTCTGCTCTGCATAGATGTTAAAGATCCCATGGCACTTCTCACTAGAACGTAAATGTGAAATATGTGTCGTAGACTTGAATGTAGCTCACAGAAATAAATCTACTCTTCTGGTTCAATGCTGGAACAGATATATGGTAAATTACTTTCTTTTACCACTGCTGAGCTCAGGGATGTAAGTCTAGAAACAAATCAACATGAACAAATATCTCATCCTTTTAATCAGTTTGAAGTACTGCTAAATAGAAAACATTAGGCTTGACTATACTCAGTCTGGGGTTTGGTTACCTACTTGAAAAATATTTTCTGCATCTCAGTTGACTTTAGATACATATTGTAATCCCCTTCTTTTCAAGCAAACTTGGTCTTGGATGTATGTATTTTATTGGTGTTTCTCAACCAGTCCTGGATATACATCTGAATATTAAACAATACCCCAGTCTTTCAGCCAGCCTTGGGCAGTCTGTGGGAGTTGGCCCAGGCCTGTGTTTGATAGAAGAGAGCTTGTTTCTGTAAGGAAACTGTTCCCAATTTCCTGCCCCGAGGGTTATGTTCAGCGTTACAGTGCAGGGAGGGTTGGGGTTTTTGCAATGTGTGACATTGCAGCCCAGTGTTGCTTTGTAATCTGTTTGCTTGTGGTTCGCTGTCTTTCTTTCTCTGTTCCCCTCCGTTCCTTTCATTCCACATCACCTCCTTCAACAGCCACAGCTGGGGAACCTGTTGCAGGTAAACCGGACCTTGGGCCGCAATGTACCTCTTGCCTCCCAACTCATCCTGATGCCCAACGGGGCTGTGGCCGCTGTCCAGCAGGAGGTACCACCCACTCAGTCTCCTGGGGTCCATGCAGACACAGACCAGGTCAGTGACACCCCTTCCCAGAGTCCTCCCCTTCCCCTGCTCTCTGTCACCCTGCACTCTGGTCTTCGTCTCCAGCCATCCCTGTGTAGCAGATTAGCTCTATTTTATCCCCAACCTGTGTTCCTCTGCAAGCAGGAGATTCTGTTCTCTCTTGCCACCCTTTTTTCATGTTTGCTTTTTGCCTCCAGAGATGGGATTCGTTTCTGCTTAAAATTTCTGGGGTGAGCCACAGGCTGGATCAATCCTGTCTTCACAGTTTCTTGGTTGTCCCTGTGTTAAAAGAACTGTTGAGTCCTATGTCCAGTTTTCAGTCACTCTGCAATGAAGAGTCTTTGCCCGTGGTAGTATTCCTTCACCCAGTTTGTTTGTTGTGGTAAAGATGTCACAGACCAAAGAGGCCACAAGCTCTTAGCTCCTGCATTCATCTATAAGTAGTTCTTAAGGTCAGGGAGCTGCCATGGCTTCCCATTTTCCTTGTCCTATCCCCAGTCATTCTTGGGATTTCCAGTTACTTCATTTTTGTGTTGTCTGGAGCACTTTCTTTGAAGGAAAGTCAGCCATGATCAGACTTGAAGATAACACTGCATTTGGAAGGAGAGTAAACACAGAAGATGGCAGCACCAAAGTGCAGAGAAACTGGTGAAATCAGAAGGGCTGCAGGCCATGAGTAGATCTGTGGGCCTCTGGAGTGGAAAGCCCTGCACATTGGGAGGAGGCAGGTGGCACAAAAATTGAAAAGGAATTACTGGTGTTGAAAGGGGTATCTCGGCACCTTTAGAGCCATACTAAACTGAATCCTACTAATGCAAGGGCACAGCAGGCAGGTCTGAATGCTGCGCCATGCCTCGGAGAATGGCGGTGTCCTCGTGCTGTTCAGAAAGTGCCACGAGATCTTTAACTTCCATCAGAGAAGGGGCAGGAGGAAGTCCAGGATAATGTGTTTCCTGGGGAGGTTGCACCTGAGCTTTGCCCTGCAGTGTTAGCCAGCTCCCCACGTGAGATTTGAAGCACTAACTTAACCAGCATCCCAGTAGAGTGTGTTGCTTATGAGTTCTCTGCCAAACTTCCAGCCAGTAATGTATGCAAAGCAAATGAACTCTGTTTTGTATGTGTGTTTCTAGGTGCAGAACTTGGCTGTGAGGGGGCAGCAGACCTCGGCTGCTAATGCCCAGCTCCAAGGCTCTGCTCAGAAGGCAGCTCTGCCAGGAAGCTCCCAGGCTTCTGGCTTACCGCAGGCCACCAGTACGGGCCAGACCTTGGCCGTGGCTCAAACCTCCTCCGGCAGCCAGTCCCTCAACTTGAGCCAGGGGGCACCAGGCAGCAATGGTGTCTCCGGGGGTGTGATGGCAAGTGGTGGGAGCCAGACCTCCACGGGATTGAGCCAGACCTCCTCGGCAGGTGCCGCAGGCAGTTGCCAAAGGAAAGGCACTGGGGTGGTTCAGCCGTTGCCAGTGGCAGCTGCCCAGGCTGTGACTGTCAGCCAGGGAAGCCAGACGGAGACAGAGAATGCAGCTACAAAGAAGGGCGAAACGGACAGCAGTGGACAGCAAACGGTGGGCATGAACCTGACCAGGACTGCTACACCAGCACCCAGCCAGACATTGATCAGCTCAGGTAAGGGCAGACCTGTTCCTTCTCTTTGAGCCCACTGGGCTTTTGCAAGAGTGCCATTTGAAAGCCCAGTGGTGAGATGTTTCCCAACATGCCTCCAAGCCTGTACACTCCTGGAGGCGGGTCTCTAGGTGTTGTCCCTCTCTATTAGCAAGCAAAGTTGATTTAGTCCCCCATGTCCTCTGCCAGAAAGCTGTTGGTCATTTTAGAACTTAATGACTCAAATCAGTGCAGTGGCTGCCTGCCTTTTTTTTTTGTTGTTGTTGTTCCCAGCTGCACTGTTGCTAACTTTTGTGCTCTCCTCTTTTCCTACTCTGTGTTTGTATAGCCACATATACCCAGATCCAGCCACACTCGCTGATCCAGCAGCAGCAGCAGATCCACCTGCAGAAGCAGGTAGTGATCCAGCAGCAGATCGCCATTCATCACCAGCAGCAGTTCCAGCACCGTCAGTCCCAGCTTCTCCACACAGCCACCCATCTCCAGCTGGCCCAACAGCAGCAACAGCAGCAAGCACCATCTCTGGCCCAACAGCAGCAACAACAAGCTCAACCTCCGCAGCAGCAGGCTCCACCTCAGAACCAGCAGCAGGCTCAGACCCTTGTGGTACAACCTATGTTGCAGTCCCAGCCACAGCCTGTGCAGCTCCAGCAGGACAGTCCTTGCCAGCCAGCCACCAAGTCGCCTGTTCCCATTCAGTCAAAATCTCTGGTCACCCCCATCAAACCACCTCAGCTTGGGCCTGCCAAAATGTCAGCAGCGCAGCAGCCTCCACCACACATCCCAGTGCAGGTGGTGGGTACTCGGCAGCAGGGCTCGGGCCAAGCCCAAGCACTGGGTTTGGCTCAGATTGCTGCAGCAGTGCCAACATCCCGGGGAATGCCAGCTGTGGTCCAGCCTGTTTCCCAAGCCCATGCTGCTTCTCCGTCGTCATCTTCAGCTCCAGCATCCTCACAGGAAGCTCCTCCTCTTACCACAGGGGTGAATTTGGCACAAGTTCAAGGCACAGCCCACATGGTGAAGAGCCCAGCCTCCTCTCCAGTTGTGGCTCAGATGCCAGCAGCATTCTACATGCAGTCTGTCCAGTTGCCAGTAAGTGATACCATTGAGAAGGAGAATAGCATATGGATTCTCTTTGTTCATTCCTAGGACACCAATCGCAGTCCAGGCCCAGGTCAGTGGGATGGGATGGGTAAGGGGTTTGGGTAAAGGGATGTGGAGACTTTTTCCTCTCAAAAACACTAATTCCAATGTAACCCTTGGGACTACAAGCATTTTTCTTCCACGTTATCATTCAAAGGCTTGCATGAAGTAAGTAGGTGAGACTCAGACCCTGCCCCAAATAGAGTAGGTGTCCACATCACTTACTAAATATCACATTTAACAATGTGGTGGGTCGACCTTGGCTGGCTGCTGCGTGACCACCAAGCTGCTCTATCACTCCACCTTCACAACAAGACTGGGGGAGAAAAATACAACGCAAAGCTTGGGGGCTGAGATAAGGACAAGGAGATCCAATTGCCAGTTATCATCATGGGCAAAACAAACTCAATTTAGGGAAACTTAATTTACTGTCAGTTAATCAGAATAGGATAATGAGAAATAAGAACAAATCTAAAAAACACTTCCCCTTCTTCACGGGCTCAACTTCACTCCTTACTCTTCTACCTCCTCCTCCTGAGTGGTGCAGGAGGATGGGGAATGGGGGTTGTAACACTCATATCATTTTGTCTCTGCCACTCCTTCCTCCTCACGCTTTGCCCTTGCTCCAGTCTGGGGTTCCTCCCATGGGATAAAGTCCTTCGTGAACTTCTCCAACATGAGTCCTTCCCATGGGCTACAGTTCTTCACGAACTGCTCCAGCGTGGGTCCCTTCCACGGGGTGCAGTCCTTCAGGAACAGACTGCTCCAGTGTGGGTCCCCCATGGGGTCACAAGTCACAAGTCCTGCCAGCAAACAGAGGAAAACAAAGATGGCTCATGTTCCACAGGTCTTGTCTGTGCTATTCTGAATTGTCCGGCTAGGGCCTGCCTAGCTCCCTGGGGACAACAGCGCTTTGCCAGCTCAGATATCCTTAGCCAGTTGCTGAGACTGTTTCTAAACTCTGGCTGCTTCTTCAGGAAGGTGTCACAGGATTTGTCTGATTGCTAGAGTGGGAGGGACAAGTCTGCTCTCATCCAACATGTTTCCCCTACTGTTTTGACTCTCCTTTATTGAAACTGATCTGATCTAGCCAAAAGCCTCTTTGGAGACTGCTGGGTGACCGTTATTCCATTTCCTTCTTCCTGGAATAATCCCCTGAGGTTCACACAGTGTCTTGGTATTACATCAACATGCCAATTCATGTTGCTTTGTGAAACTTTGCTCCCTGCTAGGTAAATGCTCCTAAGTAGAGCTATATCCTGTGAGGGATCTAGAGGCATTTCAAGGAGAACGAATCAGGCTGGAGATGAAGTATGATGGAGCAGGATGTATTTTCCTTTTGCCTTCAGTCTGTCTTGTTCTTTGCTTTGGGGCTCCTCTCTCTGCTTATGTGTTCATCTCTATTCACGCAGGGCAAGTCTCAGAACTTAGCGGTAAAGCGCAAGGCAGAGTCAGAGGAGGAGAAGGAGGAGTCACCCAGTGTCACTGCACTCCTGCCTGCCAGGTCCTCTCCTGTGACAGACAGCCCCAAAAGCATGGAGGAGAAGAGTGGCCTTGGAGGTGAGGTACAAAGGAGAGCTCTGCTTGTGCGCGCGTTAATGATTTGATCTCATATTCCATTTGACGTAGATGGGGCAAAGGTAACTGACTCCTGTGCTGTTAATTTTCCAGATAAATCGGATCCTGCTGCCACTGCAACCCCAAATACCACCTCAAGTGAAGGAACATCAGTCACCCCCACCTCTGCTTCCACCCCTAACCTGGCAATGGTGTCACGTCAGATGGGAGACTCCAAACCCCCACAAGCCATTGTCAAGCCCCAGATCCTCACACACATCATTGAAGGCTTTGTCATCCAGGAAGGAGCAGAGCCCTTTCCGGTAGGGATTCTCTGCTGTGAGGGAAGGAGGTGTAATGCTGTCTTGGGAGGGTGGTGAGTTTCTATCTTTGGACAGGAGTTTCTTTCCTTATGTTCCAAGTCAGCATTTTTTAGCTTGAGATAGAGAAGAAGGGGGAGGTGTCATGCATGAAGCAAGGCATTAAGTGGTGGCATTAAATAGGTTGGAATGAGTAAAACAAACATGATGGGAACTGTTTTCTGCAGTAGTCCTCAAAACTGTAATTCATGCAAGAATTGTAATAAGGTTCTTCTCTCTGATTTTTGAGAGGGAAAGATGCATTGCATTTTGAACAAGCAGCAAGTGAAGTTAAAGCAAATAAGGGGAGATGCAGTTACATGGAATTGCAGGATATCCAAGGCAGATAGTTCTTTGTGATCTTTGAATGAACTGCTAAGCCTGTGAGTCAGGAAGGAGTAATAATAACTTTGTTCAGCATCTCTCCTTCCTTAGTAGGCAGAGGGATCTTTCTGAGCTGTAGTAAGGTATGAGTGGTAGATACTTTGCAGAGGGTGGTAGACACAGAGAGTCCTTTACTGATGGGACCAACTCTTTTTTCTTCCTGTCCAGGTGGGTTGTTCTCAGCTGCTGAAAGAATCTGAGAAACCAATGCAAGGAGAGGCTCCTTCTGGCCAGAGTGAAAACCTGTCCAGCAATTCTCCAGGAGGCGACAGTGCTTCTGTGGGTGAGTTTCAGCACCGGGAGGCCTAGCTAGTGTTAATGAAAGTTTCTGCTCTCTGATACTGAATTACTAACTTTATACATTATGGACTTGTGTCTCTTCCTGCTAGCTCCTTAGAGACTCAAGCTATGGACCTAGGATCTCCTTTTCTTGAGTGCCAGAATACAATACTTTGTTATTAATATGATCTAACACACACTGTGTCAGTAGTAAGCAGGAGAATCTGAACTGTAACTGTCTCTAATGAGAAGGCTGGGAAGGATGTCTAAACAAAGCAGATAGTGTAGTGATGGAGATTTCTCCCACAGCCTTGTAGGATATGAGGGATATGCTATTTTTTGTTCAGAGAAATGGTACTGACAAGGAAAAATAAACTGTTCTGCTCAATATCCTGAGGTACTCATTAGTGGAGCTTCTGCCTCTCTTCCCCCAGCTTCTTCCACAAGGTAACTGCTTACTAGATAGTGCTTGGAATCTGTCTGCTCAGAGGAAGAGTAGTGGAATAGGGAATTGTTGTGTATGAACTGCTTCAGTTCAAATCATCAATTGTTGCATATCTCTGTATCTCACTAGAGCTTGATAAGAAGGCAAACTTGCTGAAGTGTGAATACTGTGGGAAGTATGCCCCAGCAACCCAGTTCCGTGGCTCCAAGAGGTTTTGTTCCATGACCTGTGCTAAAAGGTAATAGCATGACATAATCTTCCTTTTCTCTGACTATACATTCTCTGGAACTGAGCATGTGCACCTTCTCCAGGTGTTGTACAACACTTAAGTACATCTGATCCTCCCTCCATGGGATGCACTGGCCACAGAGATCCTTTAGGACTCAAAATGATTTGTGAATGCTTCTAGGTCTGGAGAGGTGGATGTGGTGTTGAGTGTAAACAGGATTTCTGATTTGCTCAGAAAAACGAAATGGCAAGGGGGAACTTCTTGCGATCCAAAGAACCTCTCTTCAGTCAAATGTACATTTGACTGACTAAACGAATGCATATTGGTAGCTGTCTGCTGCATTGCATCTACTAGACAAAGACACAAGGGAGCACTGGGGAAAAAATGGGGAGAAGTGAGACTAGTCATTGCTGCAGATAGATATTGATAGCAGAGTGCTTGTTATGGGTCTTTTTTCCCTTAGGGGAATGACTTAATTGACCCTTCAGATGTTAGATCAAGCCTCTGGTGTCCAAATATTGCTTGTGTCAGAAGTCTGCACTGGTTCCTTCCAAGGGGAAGTCTTAGAAGGAGGAGGAACAGAACTTGCTGGTAAAGAGGAGTTTTATCCTCACCTAGAGCAAGGAGAAGCAATAGGTTTAGATAGTTGCTGTTTCCTAACTGCTGCTCTGCTTCTACTTATTTGAGGTACAATGTCAGCTGCAGCCATCAGTTTCGGCTGCAGAGAAAGAAGATGAAGGAATTCCAGGAAGCTAACTATGCTCGTGTGCGCCGACGGGGGCCGCGGCGCAGCAGCTCTGAAATTGCTCGAACAAAGATCCAGGGCAAGCGCCACAGGGTAAGGATGTCATACTGTCTGCCTCTGCCAAGGCAGATCTCAGTGTAAAAGTTGTCACTGCTGGAGGTACCACTTTCTCACAGTAGATGTAGTCATACAGGACATGAAAAGTACACACTGACACAGTGGTTACACAAGGCACAGTGGGCTGTTCTAATCGTTCATCGACTGTAAAAAGTGGATTCACATTTGTACTTGTTCTTTTCACTGTGTTCACTCCCACGTGTGTGTCAATGGTGAGATCAGCTGACAGCCTTGGTAGAAAACAATCCACTTTTCCCATTTGATTAGCATTCTTCCAGATGAGTGATTTGAATCAAATTACAGAAGAACCAAATGAGCTTCAGAGCTGACATGAGGAAGAGGGATGGAGTGGGGGAGGATCGGGAGAAGGAAGAGGAAGGGGGGTGAGACTAAAATCTCCCCTTTCTGACATCAGGGAGCTCTTGTGTCAGCTGCCCCTGGACCAACAGCCTGAAACAGCTGTCCCAGACTATTGAGACAGTGCTGTTCCCAGTGTCTTGTTTTGCACCTAGTGATTGTGAATTTCTTACAAAACACCTTTTGTTTTCTTTCTTTCCTATGGGCTTGTAGGGCCAGGAAGACTCAAGTCGAGGCTCCGATAACTCCAGCTATGATGAAGCTTTGTCCCCTACATCTCCAGGACCCCTGTCAGTGAGGGCCAGTCATGGAGAGAGGGACCTGGCAAACTCTAGTATGACTCCACCTACACCAGATCTACATGGCATCAACCCAGTCTTCCTGTCCAGCAACCCCAGTTGTTGGAGTGTGGAGGAAGTGTATGAGTTCATTGCATCACTGCAAGGTGAAGTTGGAATCCTCTCCTGCAGTCCTGTCATCCAGTAGTATGGGGAAACTTGTGGGCTCTCTTTCTGGAAAGAAAGTGGTGTCAGTGGTGCCTAGTGCTTTTGTTGTACTTCTGTACATGGTTCTGAATTGGAGTAGGTCATACAGACAGATGAGTTATACCCTTCAAGCAGCAGACTGTGGAGTAGAGTGGGGTTGGTTAGATTCCTAGCTTGCTTTCTGTGCCGGCCAGAAGAGTGGGAAGGAAGGGAATGCCCAGGGCACATCTGTTTCTCAGTGCTGTTTTTTTGCTTTCACAGGATGCCAGGAGATTGCTGAGGAGTTTCGGTCACAGGAAATTGATGGCCAGGCCCTGTTGCTTCTAAAGGAGGAGCACCTCATGAGTGCCATGAACATCAAGCTGGGACCAGCTCTCAAGATCTGTGCCAAGATCAATGTCCTCAAGGAGACCTAACAGCTCTGAAGCCAGAGGTCTCACTTTTGCTCTGACCCGAGGGCAGCTGCCAGCTTTGGAGCATCCTGTTGGGGCGGGACAGTCCTCAGTGGTCTTGCATTCAAGAAGAAAGAGAAGGAATTTAACTGATTGAAACTGCTATGCACAAGCCTGTGTCTTGGTCTCTTAATGGTGCTACAAGGGGGAGGAAAACTCCCACCTGAGGCCTTGAAACATCTTTCCTTCTTCCTGATTTTGAATATGCCTCTCCTGTATACCACATAAAGACAGAAAGGGGACCTCTTTCTGTTCTTAGCAGACTTCTGAAAGGGAATGGCCCTCGCCCCTTTTTGCTACAGCAGGTCTGCTAGATCTTAGTTTTGAATCTTGCTGTGCCAGAACTTGAGGCATACGAAGAGCTGGCCCTACACGGACAGTGGGAGTTGCTGTGCGTGGGGTGTTTAGGAGGGGAAACTAGTGAATTCCAAGTGACAGAGGTGGACAAACAAAAATTAGAGCAAAAGGGGCTGCTGCTGTTCCACTCTAAAAAAAACCAACAAAAAAATCCACCCTAGGCTGTTCATGAACTGGGTTTAATAGCTATTCCAACACACGTACCAAACTTGAAGGCCTGTGGCAATAGGAGCTGCCTTAGCTTTACTGTCTCCTGTAGAGATGCAGAGTGAAGTGTTGTGGCAGCTATTCCCTCCGGATGCTTCTTTCTGAACCAGTCAGAGGAGGATTTATCCTGAGTACTTATGACAAGGTGATGGGAAAATAGAAGGGGAGGGAGATTGTCTTGCATTAGGGAACCCTGCAGCACTGGGTTTGTCTCCCCATTGTTCTAAGGCATAACTTACAGATCCAAAGCAGTCTCCAGGAGTGCCAAGGCTCTTCATAAAATGGACTCAGATTTTGGGTTTGGGGTTTTTTTTGTGTTTTCTTATCAGTTTGTATTATTTTTTGTGTCTGTCTTCATTATCCTCAGGAGAGCTTATGGGACAAAGTTTAAGCTAGTAGGATTGTATCACCTGCCTCAGGCTCTTTTTTTGTTGTTGTTGTCAAACAAATATTTCTCTTCCTCAGTTAAAAAAACCAAACAAACAAAACTATACCCTACAACAACTGAATACTGATCCTTTAATGCTACTTCTCCTTTCTAAGGGGTGGAATGATGTTATAGGCTGAGTCCTTCCCTTTTAGCCCCTCCAGGTTTGGGGTTGTATTTTTTTTTTTAAGGACTGAAAGTGATACTCTGAAGTTTTGTAACCAGTTTGCCAAAGGTGAAAAACGAGGCAGTTGTTCTCTTCCAGAAGCACCTCTGCTTAAAACAAACAAGTAAAAAAACCTGAAGAAATTGCATGAAGAAGTGAGTGACCCCTGGAGCTAAATACCCAAAAGCAAGATGATTATAAACCATATGTCTCAGCTTTTCTGTTTTCAGAAGTTTCACAGGAATATTTGAGTGAAACAAGACTGAGGGGAAAGCACCTACTGTTGCAGGAAAGCTGTAGTGGCATGGGAGGAAGCCTAATAGCATAGGTAGGAAAACATTAGTGATCTTTGGAATGGGTTCTTTATTGACCTGTTAGAAAAAGAGAGGGGGGAAGTGCTTAGGGGATGGACAAAAGGTGGCAGCAGCTTCCTAGTCTTAACTGTACTGTTGAATCTCACTTCAATGACATCCCTGTTCCTGTGAGAGAAGACTTCAAGTCTTCTTGACTCAAAATAGGCCTAAAGGAAGCTGCCCATGCTCACACCCTGATAACACTATTTGGTCCCATGTAATTTGGGGGCAGCAAAGAGGGTGGTTAGAATCTCTAACTGCAGTCAGCAGAGGAAAGCTGCCCTTTAACCATTTTATCCTCAGCAGTGATAAAACTGTTTAGTTTGACCCTTAGCACAGGATAGGCTGGCAGCTAGCCTGCCTGTGGTACTAGCTGCTTCTGAGGACCAGATTTTATTCAGTCAAATGGGAAGGTTTCACTTCTTCATGTCATGTTCAATGTTCTTAATAAAAAATGCTTGTTCAGGCTTTGTAGTTCTGGCTGCTTTGTAATTCCCCACCACCACATACATACCTGAACATTAGTTCATTGCCAAGTACACCCTGCCATCAAAAAGTTACTTTTGATTTTTATTGCTGCAGAGAAATACATCTGTAACTACCTGAGCTTTTAAAGTTTCACTGTTGAAAGATGTTTATACCTCTCCCTCTTAGGCCCTAAGGGAACTGGAGTGATACAAGGTGGCAGCAAAAAAGTATATACTAACAAGGAGATCCATTCCTGGCAAAAGAAGTTCAGGCATAAGGCACCACACACTAAAGACCCCTCACCTTGGATAAGTAAAAAGCTCTAGCACCAAAGAAAGCTCCTGTTACATCAGTACAACACTACACTGTGGTTTTTATGGTCATTTTATTTTTGAAAGTTGTGTTTTGTACAAAAAAAATTACCTTAAACACCACCATGAAAACCAGTAACAGACCAAGTGACTTCCTATTTTTCCCATGTTATGACAAAGATTCAGACCATAACAAAAGTCAAAGAAAGCAGGAATTGTTTGCCCACTCCAAACCCAGCAAGAAAGCAGGGCCACCCCTTCTCCTTCAATGTCACTGTTCAGACTGCTTTGATTGATAGTATTAAAAATACACAAACCTTGTCTGTTCTCTGCCATTAGCAGTAATGACAGCTTGATTAATTCACAGTCTCTGCCCTCAAGACTGAGGACAGTTCTCCGCCAGTCTACAACAGGGCAGACTAGGATTGCTTAAGAGTCTAGCCCCTCACATAAAAAGCAATTAGCAATCAAGGTGCCAAGTTCCTGAAGGTTTCCATTAAGTCTTATAACTCAGCTGTACCTGCTTTTCACCAGGGCCTCAGGAGAAGGTCTCTCTCACTCCCAGCCAGCAGCAGTATGCGAGTACCATCTGCACAGGGCAAGTGTCTTAAAACTGGTCTGCACCATCTATCCTTAAGGGGACAGTGGTTTATGGAACCGACCCTGTAATTGCAGGAGTCCCTTATGCAGTTTTGAATGTGTTGGCATTCTTATCCTTGGCTTCTATGGTTCCTTTTTTATAAAAATAAATTCTGGGAGCTTCACAGGAAAAACCTCTGCCAAACAAGGAACTTTTGGAGAGCATGAAGTCACAATGCTGATAGTGACCAAGCTGTGCGGGTAGTCACCTGGGGAAGCTTGTAACAGAACTCAAGTGGCAGCTACCTTTCTAATTTTGCCTTGACGTCAGTTTCAGAAAATGTTCCCTTTACTTAGCAGCACTTTATTTCTTTTTGCTTCTCAATGATTGAGAAGACTGAGACAATATTTTGACTGAACTGGAAAGTCACAAGACTGTATTTAACTCCTACACATTTTTAGCATTGCCCCTCTCAGTCTGAGAGGATGGCATGCATCCCTTTATAACTGTTGAAGGAAACTGGTGTGAACTCTTCAACATATTGCCATTAGGAAAAGACTGCAGAGGTGCCAATGCCTCTTCCACCCCCATGGAGTCTGGCATAGAGCACACTGTGCATGTTACGCTGGCAGAAACAGTGTGTAACAGTGCAAAAGCTAGAAAAGCTGAAAATGCATTCAAAGAAAAATAATTCCAGTGTCTTAAAGATCCTGTAAACCCTAGGGAAAAAAACCCCACAAAACCAAAAGACAGACACAAAAGATCCCTCCTACTGTCTCAGCTGTTTTAACCCACTGCCTCTTCTTCCTTCTTTCTGTACCCATCCATGGCCCTTTTTTCCTC